GCTCCCAATATCCCTACCAAAAATTGGGCACTGAGAATTTTAAGGTCTCCATAAAGGGAAAACAAAAGATTGCAGTCCTGAATCCGTCTTGTTGAAAACTTGCTTTCCAGAGCACCAGACTGTAGCTTCAGCAATTGAGATTCATATATCCTAAACTCTCAAGAGTTTAGGATCCTAAACTGTCAAGAAGCTCTTTGCAAGATCTGCACCTACCTTTTATTTACTTATTTTTAATTTTATTTTGCTTCTTTATTCTGAGCCTTATTCATGTGACAAAACAAGACTGTCTTGTGAGGTTCTTGGGAATCTGGTGCAGTGCAGGTTGGTTTGAAACTATGGAAATCTGTGAAAGCACTTGTAGAGAAATTTCCTTGCAATATTTTCATTTGATAGAATATGAAGGTGCATGATCGCTTCCCGTTGGTTCTCCATTGTTGTTTTAAGCATCCATACTGTTGCTGAAGAAGAAATGGATTAGACTGACTTCATTCTGAAGAAGACCTGGCAAATAACCAATACTTTATAGGAAGACTTTGAGGAACAGCACTTTCATCACACCCATTGTTTTCTAGCAGGGTCAAAGTCCTATTAGTTGCAAAGTTACCAAGTTAATCTTCACAGAATAACTTGGTTTATTCATTTTGACTGCAGCTGTATCAGACATGAGGCATGAAAGTGGAATAACAGTGTGGATGTGCAGACACTCATCCAAGAGTGTTTTATGTGTGATGATGTGTTTAATATATGTGTGATCAATTGTGTGCTATTTTAGAAACTGAATTTAGTAGCTTTCAAAGAGATGAAAAATCCCCACCATCATGAACAAACAAACTAAACCCACCAGCCATTTCTTACAGGTGACATTTTGGACTGTGAAGCTGATATTAAACTATATATTGATTTACGTCCAAGACTGATCAGATCCACTCCTCCCGGCTTCCACCAAATAAATAAGTAAAAGGCTGCAAGAGGCTTAGGGCATGACAACCTGTTTTGAAATTTTTCTGTGGTTCTACTTTCTTGAGAGTAGTTGTTTGGTATCATTCCATGTGAGTCAGGGGAAGATGCAACTAAGCAAATCCATACTTTTAATGTCTTCCAGGGGATGATAGATAATATGCTGTTGAAACCTGGGCTCTGAGCTCCACTTTGCCAGTGTAACATAGCTACATTTATAATTACCTCCATTCCTATCATAATTCATTGTCAGCAGTGGCAATTCTACAGCAGAAAGACATAAAGATATCTACTTTCTTTGGGAGTGGGGTTCAGGTCCTTAAATTCAGCTCAAACTTCAAATGTATTTTAATCCCTAATGCTCTGAGTCAGTGATTCTTAATGGGGCCATTTTTTTCTCCTCGGTGAATCTCTTTGAGAAATCTTTCTGTATTTTGTATTTTAGTAAATGGAGGCTTTCATTTTTCCTTTATTTTTGAAGGAATTATTACCTTTGAACGTAAATATGTATATGCATACTGTCACATGATAAAGCAATGAACACTTTCAGAGTCTCTGGCAGCAAGTAACTTGAAAGAAAGCCTGTTCAGGTGTGCTGCATGCAGGGTACTACTTCTGTGAGAAAGGTAAGATGAATTTTGCTTGCTGCTTGCTATCCAGGCAGAACAGGCTGAAAGAGAGAAAAAAATATTTTGAAATTGTTACCACTATTTAATTGGAGTGATGAGGCAGTGGCAGCAGGCTGCAACATGCTGGAATTTGGCTTTGGCTTGCAGTTCTCCCTGCCTACTTCAGATTGTTTCAGTGCTGAACGTACCTGTTTAAGTCGTGTGAGAGAACTCCAGTTGCTTTGCAGGGATGCTTTTTGAGAGTGACAAACAGTTGCTGAAATAGTTAGTGTATGGCTAAAAAAATACTGCTGGGAATGATTGGATGGCTACCAAGACCCTCTTGGCCGTCAGCCAGTCCTGCAGGTCAATGCACGTACCAGAGGAAGTTACTCAACTGGCTTTGCCCAATGGGTTGCTAACCAGGATGTGAATTCAACCTTGCTGATAGAATGGTTGGAAGTGGATTATCCAGGTAAAACTAGCTCAGTTAGGTACTCTAATAGCCCTATTTCCTTTTTGAGTTGGTTGTGAGACTAAGAGAATATTGTTACAGGAAACAACCTGTCTGTTATGAAGTCAAAGACAGGAGCATACTGAGATGTGAGTGAGTTTACAAAATTCCTGGTTTTGTTTGTTTGTTTGCTTTTTTTCTGGAGGAATCTTGCATTTTCGGCTGGGAAACTTGTCCGAATTAGTAGTTATAGACATTCACACTGGTATAAGCTATCTTTAAGGTGACAGATTTATTGGTGTCCTTCCTGAGCAAAATGAAAAATTAAAAAACTCAAATCTTATATTCCTGCCTCTAAAAACCTAAAGCTTTAATCCCACGTAAGTTTCCATGGTTTGACTTCTGCCTGTGGTTCTTAGAGAACCTCACTAGTTATCATTCTTGCATATGTGTCTGTAATATCCTCTTTGAGCCTCTTGAACAGTGACTGAGTACTTTAAACTTTCCAGAGGCTGCTTGTAGGTGCTGTTATAGGTGACAGATTTTTTCAGTCAGTATGTACCCAGGGAGAATTTACTAAGGTTTTGCTAAGTCAGCCTTAGCTGCGTAACCTGATACGAAAGGTTGCTTTGCGCTTTGACCTCTATATTTTCGAGAGAGAAGATTAAACAGAAATTCTGTGTCAACAGTCCAGCCCTGACCTCTGCGAATGTCTAGAATACCTGTGCAAATATTCTTGAGCCTGAACATTGCCCATCTCAGGTTTGAGACTCCTCTTTCCTAGAACTAATAGTATGTTTCACTGCTTTTAGAGAAAGTTCAATATGCAAGCTCTGATCTTGTCTTTAGGACTTGAACTAAAACTAAACTAAAAAAAGTTTGATTTGTACTAAAACATGATATTTTAGCCAGGTCATCTTCGGTAGACTAATTTCAATCAAGTGGGTCTGCTGAGAACTGGCTGTTGCTTGTGTCTATAGCAAATATACTTCCATACTCTTAAAAATAATAATAATAATAAAAAACAAAAAACAGAGCACTTGCAAGTTCTTCATGTGTGTGGTATGTAAGCAACAGATCATCCTGTTGCCAAGGATTTTGCTGCTGAATGCTGTTGGGGCTTGATTTATAGGGGACTCTTCAAGTTGAATACTGTATTTTGGTGCGTTCTGGGTAGAAGAGCAGCCTGATCTTGCAAGCTTTTTGTGAAAGCAAATACATGTGTACTTGAAATTTAACTTGACTCTCTCACTTACTTTCCATTTGAAACTATGGTGGAAGTGGTAACTATCCTCCTAGAGGGACCTGTAACTTGTAATTAATTACTCTAATACAAAGTAGATCTGGCTTTCCTGGGAGGGGTATGGGAAGACTATATCAGAATTTACTTTTCTGTTGTGCTAAGTAGCATCCAGCACTTTGAGTTCAGTAGCGGACAGGTGTATTGCAGGGGCTTTGTGTCATGCTCTGGTGGGGTGGTGCAGCTTCGTAGCTGGGTCCAAACTCTTGGCACTGGAGGTGGGTGGTTTGTCATCTCCAGAATCAAGGGCACAGGCAGCCTGGAACTTATTCAAGTATCTCCCCAGCTGCCCAACTGCTGCTGCCAAGATGTTCTCTCTCTCCAGATTCAAATTAATTCACTTTTCTTAATGGAGTAATCTGTATTTCTAACTGTATGTATGTGTATATATGCCCTAATGGGAAAGTGCTATTACAGGTATATTAATAAAATAATAATAAAAGACTCTAAAAATTAATAGAGAACAGAAATTATAATTAAGATGATTAAAACCCCTTGGAGACTATTAATGTGTACCAAGCATAAATATCTTTAAGAGGTCCAAGATACCAAGAAACTCCCACCCAAATGGTGGGTTGAGCCCTGACTTTATTGGAACTTGATAACTGCATGTTAATTTTGGAATGCCATCCATGTAGGTAAGCAGTGAATGGTAAGCCATCAACCTTTGGAAAACATCCCAAACCCTAAAGGATCAGATGTGAATCTGTCCTCTGAGGCTGAGGAACTCAGGTTCTGCTGTGTTGAGTTGAAAAGGCAGCAGCCACAGGTTCGGTGGGATTCTCCTAGTCAGCATCTGCTCCACAGTTATGAAGCTCTGCTGGCAAACAAGGACCGTGATTACATTAATACTCAGTTACTCTCACTTAACTAGAATTCATAGACCTCTAAAATATAATTTATTTATACTAAATACATTTGGTGTTTTACAAAGGCAGATTCACTTCAGTTTGCTAAGGGAGACCTGGTGTTTTCATCTGTCTTGCAAGCTACAGTTAGAGTGTTTGTCAGGAGGAAAGTGAGTAGATTATCTGCATTTTATTTATTTATTTACCTCTTAGAGCTGGAGAGCAGAGGAAATCAGTAAATTCTCACCCGACAATGAGTAATTAGTGGGCGTTTTTAATCCCATGTGCGCGTTGGTGAATTTGGGGTCCCTTGATGAACCAGGCTTGGGGACCTCAGTCTCTCCTCTGGAACAGCTCTTGCAGGTGCCCTGCAGTGCAGGGGTGGGTGGAAGTGCCAGAGTGCTGGGACTGGGGGCTGAAGCAAAGAGTGAGTCAAACGCAGCAAGACAGCAGATATTCCCAGGTTGAAGATATCGTGAGATTTCACAGGTCCTCTGACCTGTGTGGTTTGTAGGTGGTTGCAAAGGGGAAGAAATTTCTTCCTGTGGAGAACATGAGAATATGGCAGTTTTTTATGCGTCTTAGCAGTGGTTTGTCTAGTCCCATATTTCATCTCTGGAAGCAACAAAAAAGGATGCTGTTTAGGGAGAGCACGTGAACCTGATGCTGCTTTCTGCTGCTTATTTCTCTTGTCATTCCTCTTGTAATCCATCAACATCTGAAACTATTGTATTAGGCTACTTCACTCCATAATCATTTAAGTATTTGACATTAAAGACCTGTTGATGATGAGAATCTTTTTTCTACATACTGTTTTTTTTTTTTTTTTTCAGTTGAATAAAAGAAATGCTCTGGGGATTCATGAACAGCCTCTGAAGAATATTTTTCCCGTAAGTTGCTTGGTTTCAAGACCATAGCAATGCAATATTGCAAAACCCTCATAGAACATAGCAATTTGGAATATAGTTGTTCAACCTCATTGCAAAAACAAATGTTGTTCTTGAATTTGCATAATTCATTTGATGAAATGCTTAGTGAATTGGTCCCAGTGAAGGGATGAAGCTTTGTGGTGTGCCTTCATTTCAGATGTGCATCGTGTCAAGAGATTAAGCTCTTAGTAACACCTCTTCCCCCTTTTGCACTCCGCAACCCCCCTAGCTCTCTGAGAGAAGCCTGAATGTTTTCCCTGAGGGCAGAAATAAATGATCCCTGGAGGCTAATGTTCTGATAAAGCTAAATTAGAAAAGGAATGGGCAAAATCTTGGCCAACACATCAAAGGGATGGCTACTAAGGGAGAAACGGGCATGTGTATTTGTGAGGTGGTCAGCTACAGATACGGATTCCTTCCCCCTGCTCCCAGAGATGCTGTGTGCCACTCTTCCCCTATACAGAGACAATTTGCTTTTCATGTAGTAATGAAGAACAATGTCTTAACAGACAAAGGCACTTCTAGTGTATTATTGCGCTGTCTTTTGACTAGTGCTAGATGCTGGGAAAAAATGGTAATTCACAGTGTGAATGCTTCTCTCCCAGAGATGTGGGCTAGAACTGGGCATGTACAATGTATATTGCATAAGGTACAATGGTGAACATTGTGAGAAGGAGAAAAGCCCAAATTATAGTTGTTGCTGATGGCCAAGAAACTAGTCTTTTGTATCTTTCTTTAAAGATGAAGACAGCCCAAACAAAATCCGAAGTATTGTCCTTCAAAGTGTGTGTGTGGCTGGACTTGGTAACAATATGTTCATTTTTGGTGCTTGCAAATTCGTGTAAAAATATATAGCTATGCTGCTGAAAGACCTACATCCCCTGTTTTATCTTGTAAGCTGATATAAAGCACAGGTGGCTTTTCATTAACTTATTTCACTCGAATATAAATATGCTGCTCGGTTCTCTTGCTGTAACTATATAATCCAAGAAACATGATTGTTGCTGATTTAATGTAATCAGCGTTGTGAGGGGAACACTCTGAGCCATTTGTGAAAGGCTCTATTCTGAGGGGATTTACACCCCATGTAAATCTGATTTAAATGGGAGAGTGGTGGAATGTGGCTTTCCTATTTAACCTATGCAAAAATCTATATTCTCCCACCTAGTTTTCTCACTGTGGAATGGGATGCTCAGTTGGTGCGCCCTGGGGGAGGGGAAGGACAGAAGTCCAATAAGGACATGGAAAGTGTGTAAGGGACTATCTCAAACGGGCAAGTTATACATTTTGATTCAATATTCTGATATTCTTATCAAGGCTTTCCAGAGTGTGACACTGACACAAACTGCAAACAATAAGGAGAAAACAGCAAACATGTATCAATGTCTTCCCAGTTCAGCAATGATTTCTTATTCTTTCTTTTTCTGTTTCTTTTAAAGGACTAGTCTTGCTGCAGAAATAAAAACCTGGAAGAAAAACAGTGAGCCATCTTAACACACTAAAGCAAATGTATTTTAAAAAATGATTTGAGTAGTTTAAAGATATCTTTCTGTTTTAATTTATTGAACTATAGCCAGACTTATTCAATTAAGATAATACACTTCAAGGTTAACTACCATTTGCTGTTCACTTAGGCAAGCTATTGTACAGTTATGTAAATTTCATGAACAGAGACACGACTTGAGTGTCTTAATTACAAGCAAAAAGTGTCATTTAAATATGAATAAGTGAATAGTTGCCTGTATTTCCTGTTCACATTCTGCTGTCATCTTCAAGACCAAGAGCTAACTAGCCATCTATATTGTGCTCTTAGTTTTTTCTTTCGGTCTATAAAGGAGAAGAAAAAAAAATCCAACAAAAAAACACCCTGTCATATAAATACATGTAAAACGGATGATGTGCAAGTGTCCCTGACTTTACAGTGGTTATTAGCCCACTGAATTTCAATTTACCCAGATCACAATGAATAGCAGGAAGTATGCAGGATTTTCTGTGGACTTCTGTGCGTTTCAGTATGATATCTATGTTTAAATTGTACCACCTGTGATTTCTGTATAAACTTCATTGGTACTTGGTTTCTGACAAGGCTGCTACAGGCTTATTTTTATGCTTCTATTTTCAGAGCTAAGATCTCTTATAAATTCTTCTTATTTATATATACCTAGTTGTCTTCAAAATAGTCTGTTTCCTTATGAATTTACAGCCGCTTTAAATTTGATTTTATGTAGCAAAGTTTTGCAGTGATGTTGCCTGGTCATCTTTAGGACCCAATTCCCTGTGTTCATATCTTGTTGATAGTTTGGGATTTATTTTCCCCCCCCATTGTTTTGGATTGTTTGTCTCTCTAAAAATGACCTAGAGAGAAATCTGTTGTTAATCACATGTCAACGAGGGAGGGATGATTAGTTAATGAAAACCATGCCTTATTTCTGTGGACCAAATGGCTAACTCTGGTTCTCAGTATGTACAGAGCCCCTGGAAAGACTGTTCCCATCCTTCAGTGATGTAGCTGCGGCTCTCCCTGAGGAATGAGGAATTCACTATTCACTCTCGGCTTGCATCACCCTTTCCAACATGTTCCCACTGATACATTAAAGGAATTAATTGCTCATAATGATCTCACCATCTGTTAACAGAGGTTCATACCTACAGGCTGGTGGCATGTGGTGGTCCTATTCAGGAATCAATAGGCAATGCTGGGGGAACGCTTTCCCACATTGCCTTCCATTGCGCCCTGAAAAGGGGAGGAGAGCTCAGTGTTGGCCATCTGCTCCTCGTCTTTCTGTGCGCGAGACCCTGATGCAGCCCAGCCCGGCTCTGATCTGACTCCAGCCTGATTGGAATGTGCCTGATCTGAGAGCCTCTCAAAGCTGTGAAAGTGAGTCAAAAGGAGATCCCCTTTGTCCGGCAGCGCTGAAAGAAAATGATCACTTTAAAATTCATAACTCCCAGGTGCCCGCCATCTATTCATGGGAAAAACTCTCTGAACTTCTCTTCATTAAAAAGAGAGGGAGTCCAGCTATAAAGGGAGAAAAGGAAGTAGTTTGTGGGAAATGTGCAAGGGATTTCAGGCTAAACAAATGAGGAATTTGGAATTTTTACTTGTATTAAAGGAACCGTGTAAGGAAAAGGGAGCGTTTGTAAGAGCAGGGCCTCTGCATCAGGGGCCCTTCCCTGGGGTCCTTTAGCAAAATAAAAAGGCTTTTTTTTTTTTTTTTTTTTCTCTTCCCTCTCTCCCCTCTCTCAGGAGTTTTTCCTCCCTATTCCTCTTTCTTACCTGTGTGAAAGAGGGTAGGAATAGTACAAGAATGAGTCTGTCCCTGCTTCATGTGCTAAATTAGAGTGCCTTCAGTCTGCCTTCCACCCCCCTCTCCTGCCTGTGTTTAATTGTATAGGCTGCATATAAAGCCAACCTGATAGCAAATGTAAACTGAAGCTGAGTTATCCTCACAGAGAACTGCGCTTTGAGAGGGTGGAACGGCTGCTCTGTCACCCCATGCCCAGAGATCTGAGGATCTGCCATATTACAGGAGAGGTTTGGGGTTTCTCTCTCCCCCAGTTTTTACCTCCAAATCTTTTACCTCTCCCGTATGTGAAGTACTGCCAAATCCTTCCTCATTTCTCAAGTATATATGCTCCCCAACTTAGTGCTTTTTAACTGTCCTCAGAAAATCTTGGGTGGATTTATGCTTGTTCCTGCAATATAAAAAACGCTTTTCATCTCTGAGGTGGTTTTTGTGGACAAAAGGTGAGGCTGGCCACAAGGAATAAAGTATGATATATAAAGTATAAAAAATACTAACGTAGGAATGAAATCTGCTTCTGCAATAAGGGCTATTGACTGTCCCCTGGTAAATGCAGTTTAAAGCCTACAACTGTAAATAACTACAGTCTATCTTTCTGAAATATCCAATCTCCACTTAATGACTTCAGGGGAATTTATTGCATTGATAGACTATATAGATAGATACTTATCTGTGACCTATTTCCAATTTAGGGTATCCATTCCAAGCCTTATCTTGTCCCTCGCGTCTATTAGGGTTGCACATAATCTGGTGTCCGATAGCATAAAATAAACCATGCAGGGTTTGTTATTGTATTTTCTGTGAGGTCTTGATGAATTATCTCCCACCAAAAGCAGCTGGGAGCAGTTTTTGGCATGACACGGGCCTGCCTCCCCTATTCCAGGAGTTTATCACCATGTGATGCACCAGTCTTTCCTTCATTGCCCCACTTCATATCACCAGGTAAGAAAGACACTGGCATTTGGCCACCTCCTCCTGTGCTATTCTGACCAGAAGTGGTTATGAACCTCCCCACTGGGATTTTTTTTTTTATTCCCCCAATGTTTCTTTTCTATATCTGCATATAGAGAACACAGATGTACTTTAATCTCTGCTCTTGCTCTTCCTCATTATCATCATCAGGTTTCAATGATATCCTTTATGTCTCTTTGCTCTGCATCTTCAGTGTCATCACATGTATATTCATCAGGTCAAGTGCTCTTCTTGTCATAACCAGAGGCAGCATTTGCATAGCCACGTCTGGGAGCAGCCTAGCAGAATCCAACCCTGGCTTACCTTTTAAGAGGTTATGATGCAACTCATGCTTAACAGTCCATTCGCTTTAAAAAAATAAAAAATAAAAAAGTTATGGGAAAATAAAAATCGCAAGATTAAATGCTCCACGATCAGACTACACCTGTTAATTTGACAAGTTTCCACAAGAGCAGGCGCTTCCTTACTGCATTCCTTAATTATATAGCCATTGTTTCTTGAATGGACTCTCTTATCTCTTGAAACTTTAGATAAATTAAATGCCTTTTTTCTTAAAAAGAAATATTGTAAGAAAATTTTCATACTGCAATATGCAATGGTTAATAGATTTCCTAAATGATAACAGTGTGCATGTGTGTATATACACACACTTTATTATTATATTTTTAAAGCGTTTTTTGGCCTGTTTGTCTGCAGTAAACTATTTCGCCAACTCAACAAAAATTTTCAGCGATCTAAACAAATGAGCAGGTTGCAAGTAACTGGAAGTCTTGATTAGTTAGAATTTGTTACTGATTTTTCTTATTGTTCTTTTCTCTTTAGAACCAATGAGAAGTGGGAGGCCCTAGTGTTCTACGCAGCGTGTGAATACTGGGTATAAATGCTGCCCACCAGTGAAGGTTTATGATCCAAATCTATGAGGCAGGCGCTCTGTATGTGGAAGAGGTATAATGCTACTTTGGCAGGCTGTACATCCTGATCTCGGATAACATATGTCAGAGCCACAGTTATGAATAAATAAATGTTCACTTCTATGACGTTGAGTAGTCCCACTGAATTAGTGTAAAAATGCATGTAAATTAATGTTTGAAAAGCAGTGTCTTAAATGCATATATTCCCGTACAGCTCTAAGCTCTGTCTCGAAGCTGTGACAGCGGATCACAATTCCTCCTGTCGTGGGGTGGAGTTTTACAGCTGCTGTTTTGTGGGAGGAATGCATGATGGTCATAAATAGAGAGCAGAAAGGGGCTAAGGGCTTATAATACCACGGCCATCGTTCTGCTCTGATGCAGATACTGCTTCTATCTCTCAGCAGCAGATACAATATCGAATTTTTATTACATACTATTGTTAATTTTTTTCTCCCTTCCAGAGGTTGTTTTCTCTCTGTTGCACAGTTCAAATATTTGCACTGTGGTACTTTAAGGAAGATCTCTGAGATGATATGGTAAAAAAAAATTATTTTTTTTAAACAACATTAATGGGATCCTACCATGGATCCTATTACCTCCTAAGGGGAGGTAAGCCCTTCAGTCAGAACAATTGAAAAGCAGTAGCCTCCAATAAGGCTACCAATCCCTAGAGGTAAAGGGTATACAAAGCTAAAAAATGGCATTGATGGTGTAGTAACATGCACTTACATTCAAAGATTGTTTCACTTTCCACAAAAGCAGGGCCACACTGCTGTTTTTAATAACTTAAGTTTCAACTTACTTATTTAACTCCATCCTCCTGAGGCGGTGCATCAGGAATGAATTCAGAGAAGTGTTTGAGTTGCACAGTTTTCTTCAGGGCATATTATATCATCCTGCAATTAATTATTTTTTCATAATAAATACTTTATTTGAGAAGCAGAGTAATCCTTTGAATGTGACATAAAATTTGAAAATTGAATGTACTGTAACAGTCTTTTAACATAAAATCTTATGTATGGGGTTGTCTAACTCTGCTTAAAGGAGAAGATGGGACTGGAATAGGTGGAATGGAGAGAGACTTCTTTTGCCTGGAATGTCACTCTTAGGATTTGTGGCACCTGCTACTGTGAGTAAATGCTGTGTAGTGATGCTCTGTCATCAATAAACAGTGTACAGGTGGCCTTGGGAAGTATGCAGGAAGAAGGTGGTGCTTGATGTCTTCTCTGTAGTGCTGCAGAGGTACTTCTCTCTGGATATAGAAGCTCTACAAGTCACTCA